AGGTACACTTAGATCCAATCATTATCTATGAAGTTATGCAAATAAATAAATTCTTGTCTAATTTTATATATTTTTACCACAATAACGTATTACATCGTATATAAATACAAAAATACTTACCACCAAATTTAGGTTAAAAAGTTATAGTTGTTAAAATTTCAAACTGTCCATGTTCTGGACTCGAAAATCCGACATGTCCGAGTTCTGTGCTCAAAAATCCGAAGTTTCCAGGCGTTTTGTCCTGGTTGCCAAATTTTACAAATGGCAACCCTACAGAGAACTTAAAGAAATGAAAAACAATCTAATAATTTAAATGATATTTTTACAAGAATTGGTAAAAAAGGGAACGGTTACTTGCAAAGTAATACAAAAATCCAACATTAACAAATAACCCCAATTTATATAAAAGAGAACAAAGCTTTTCATTTCAAGAGAGCCATAAAACAGATGTTTTTGTTCTCAATAACCCCCCTTGCAGTGTACGGTCGGTTAAAAACAGGAATAAATTGTGAGAATCTTTGCAAAACAATAGTTGGAAATGGTGTACGCGAGAAAAAGCCGGATGCAAATGCCATTCATATTAATTAGCAAAGCGAGACGGGGCTTTTACGAAATTAGACCGTGATTTCAGTGAAGATTTATTGTTGTGTTTGAAACGGTTTCGGAGCATGGTAGCCATTTAGTTAGACGCAGGCAAATTGGTGTTGTCAGACGGGTTTTAAATTGAATCGACTGAAGTTGTTTGCTTACCTACGCCGCCGGTGAGTCACAGTCAAGGTAACTTACAGGAAAAAGCTAATATATTAGTGGGCGGCATCGAACGATAATGTGTTGGCTTCTTATCTTTAATGGGTAACCCTAAAAACCTACCTACTTATTTACCTATTTCTTTATTGCTTGGCACATTTTTGTTGATAGGCAAGCACTACACTGTTATTGATGTCCCTCTAAACGACTGGACCGATATCGATGAAATTTTATGTGTGTACACAAGTGAGTCCCTGAATGGTTTAGATTCACAACTGGACCGGTTAAGTGCCGCTTTAGTGAGATGATTTTTGATACCTAAGTTAACTTTATATCTTACGAGCGGCCGCCCACGACTTCGTCCGCGGCAACTTTATTTTTTTGTGAATCCCTCAGGAACCTCATATTTTTTCGGGATAAAAAGTCTCAATTCAGGTCATAAACTATATGCGCACCAAATTTCATCCAAATCAATTTAGTAGTTTTTGTGTGATTGAGTAACAAACGTACAAACTTTCATATTTATAATCGTATTAGGATTAGAATATTACGATTTTATTGAAGGTATTATTATTATTAGAACACCGCTGTGTTCGTGGAAGTACCTACCTATTTACCATTGATGTTGATGCCAAATGTTCCTTGTTGTTGGTTAACAGCTTCAGGAAGCAGATATCTCCCTGTTGCACTGACTGCTGTATTTGGATAAGTCTCGTAGCATTGTCTTGTATATGGATTTTAGTACTGAAGAGAGGAAGGGCACAACGGCTTTTCCTCTAGAATTGAAGCACCCGTCCGAGGCAGCAACGTCCACCTTATAAAAGACACAGTAAAATAACACTACCTTTTTGTGGTTGTTTTTGCTGGTGAGTAGGATTTCAGGGCTCCGCGATATAGGGGATTAGTTTCAGGCCGGCAAGGTGAGAATAGCTAGAGCGGCATACCTCCGTATCATCTATATTCGAGACTGGACTCCACTAACACTTAACATCAGGTGGAGTGGGGTAATTTTATTTTGATCGTCGTATCGTATTAAATAACTTAATCAATTGTACATACTTACCTAGCGATGGTGCTTATGCTGGGGCTAAGTTAACGAGAAATGCTATTAATAATGTGTAACGTGATAATGTCGTAGCCACAACTTAGCGCGATAATTTAACGACACTCTTGTAAAGATCACACACAACACAGCTTATATTTTCACCAAACTAAAGCCTACAAACGCTTAGCAAAGTGTCAGGATGAGCCTAAAGTCGAGGTAATAAGGTAAGTGCGCCTAAAAAGGGCCGGTTCCAAATAAGGTCCATCTTTTCAAACTTCCCGCACTTAATATTTAAACCAAAACTGATTTTGCGCAGCGCCTCCCCAGTAACCAATCATAAAAGCGCACCGACGTTCATTGCCTCCGCGTCGGCCATTTTGGCAGTGGCTCTGTGTGTAACCTCAGGTGCAGTCGACGTGACTGAACGAATAAAATATTCTGATCCAATTTTGCTTTGTTTCAGTAATAAAACTCGGTGTTATGTAATAATTTTGCAATAGTAATGTTAAAATACTTTCAGAACGTGGATTGACGGGGCAAGTTACTAAAATTATTGCTTATTTATCTAAATTTTGTTTCATTTTCTCAGGACACATGTGATTGCCTAAGAAGGTCCAAGTTGTTGTCTACAAATAAGGGCCGGCCCTTATTGGGGGTACGATATTTTAAAATAGGCATGATCAGTTACATAAATGACTTATATGAGTGTAAATAAGCAGCCTGGCCTAGCAAGTGGCATTTATATACATTTATTTTGATTACTGAATAGAAAATATATTTAATAAGGATAAGTATATTCACACTGAACCTTTCAAGTTCTGTGGTTGCCGTGTTACCTGTTAGAAACACTTAATAAGATCCACACTATGATTAAATAAGTGTTATACCTAATAAGGTCCAAAGATTAAGACTGAAAAAATAACTCATTAGTAACTTTTAGTGATTGTCTTTAGTAAAATTAATAAAAATTTGCACAAACCTTCAATTTGTTTCATTTATAGCTAGAAAATATATAAGTTACAACTTATATATATTTCGTATGACTTTATAAGGGCCACAATACTAAATTATATGAATTACCGTTTTAATATTGGAAAGCCATGAAGTTGAAAGTAGTTTAAAGCCGTTGCTATCTAAAGATTTATTTTTTCTGATACTCAACGTCTGAAATCTTGCAGTTCAATCATGGACCTTAATTCGAGCCCTAGTACACAATAAGGACCATAAACAAACTTTTAAAAAACTAAATAAAACTAGTTTTTACGGGTTAATGCACGAAAACTTTATTTATTTATTGACGTTTCGCAGCCTTTTCAGGTCTGCATCGTCAGAATAATGATTTTATTTAAAATTGAAAAGGCTGCGAAACGTCAATAAATAAATAAAGTTTTCGTGCATTAACCCGTAAAAACTAGTTTTATTTAATGAGTGATGTGCGTGAAAACCTAAGAAACAAATATTTCAAAAAAACTTTTTTTGTAAATAATAGGTCATTCGTGTGTTGTTTTTGTGCAACGTTTTCTTTTCAAATAAAAACAGTTTGGTTGATCATGACGTCGTACTAATTATCACACTTCCAAACATTGATTTATTTCGATTTCCAAAAACCCGGCCCTTATTAGACGCAATTACCTTACAGTGCGAGCTGCTGATGTAACAGTAGCCAACTAAACCCGGTGACGCTGTAAAGGTCATCTGCGACCAACAGCATATACACTCAAAAAAAAAGTAGCCAGCTGCTGTACCCTTGTACTTACATGGCAGTAGCCTCACCCAGTCATTCAAATGAGAACTGCTGATGTGAAAGGAGACAGCCACTTCATCTGTGTACTCGCCTATCGACTTCCATGTGACAAGTCTCGTGCAATGTAATCAAAACATGACGGCTCGTCGTTCATATCACAATAAGCGGACAAGTCATTTTGTTCGGAAGTCTATCCGCCGTTTTGTCAAACGAAACAAAAACAAACAGAAAATTCGGCGTATTCACAAGCGTACGAGCAACTGTCTGTATGCCATCTGTTTGCAAAGATATCGGAGCCGACGCGATGTCCGAGTTGCGTGGATATGCTGGAGGAGAATAAGAAGGCAACACATCTTCTACTTTTGGTATAACAGGTTTTAAATCAGGTGCTGGAGTTGCAGAAACAACGCAGCAATCGTCGTAATCATCATTGGAATCACCGATAATTTCGATGATTGTCATACTTGCAACTTCGTTTTTAGTAACAGGAAGGACTGGCGTAGTAGGGGTGGAGGATGAAAATATTTGATGGTAAATTTATATCTGGTTCTGTTTTTATTGTTGCAATATCAGGCGTTTCAATACATTATCGTTCGACTGCGGTGGTGGTGAATCTCTTTCTGACACAGTTTCACTAGCATAATTGGTACCTAAGTGCATCAGACCGGATTGACCGCTTGGTATCTATCGAAACATAATTTTACAGTCAGTCCCAACAGAAATCTCATAAGAGAACCAAAAATTTTAGTTTGGCACCAAATGAATGGTAAGAATAATAAAATTAGGCACAAAACCCAATACGAGTTTTATATTTTTACCATAAAATATAATATTTATACAATGGTGTCGATTCTAGAGTGATTCTTTAAGGTTTAAAGTTTTGTTAATAGTGTGCTTGTCATTCTCTATACAGATTAAAAAGGAGAGGCTGATGTTAAAAGTTTTAAGTTTAGAGAATCATCACCATTATCAAGCTTCAAATCATCAACCAGGGGTGAGCAAATCGTAAATGGCCCGAGGTTTCAGATTTGTAAATGTGGCCCCCCACACCTTCGTTGCCCCAGGGCCTCCACACCTCTATAATCCGGCCCCGTGGCCTCCATACCTCTATAATCCGGCCCCGAGGCCTCCACACCTCTATAATCCGGCCCCGTGGCGAGTTATTTGTTCGAACCCCCTCTACCAGAGTACATTAGTATCCCTCTACCGTTGACACGACGCGCGACGGCTACTGTAGTTAACGTACATGATCAAAAAACAAACGCGCAACGCACCTCTTATCATTATACACGTAGATAGGTAGTTATCAACATCAAATTTATACAAAAAGTAGGTAAACATTTAAATAAGAATTATGTACCTAGAAAACAATTCAAAGAATTTTAAGTGTCTTGTTTGATATCAGGAGTATTTGGGTGTAGAAATTATGATTATACCTACGTAAATAAGAAAAGCAGTCAATGTATATAAAAATACATATATTCTTTAGGTTTCTCTTATATATAAAAAATAAGGGTAAAAACAAAGGCAAGATAACATATACCAGTTATTGAACTGTTTGAGCGAATAGATTCTAATAGTACATGATTTAAGTAATAACATAGTATTTGAGACAATGAAATGTAAATACCTATATAGCAAATTATAAATACCCACTTTTATCTATTATTAATATATAATACTTAATTGATCTTAGATTCATCCACTTTAGGAGACTTATTGTATGTAAGTCACATCAGTGTGTAAGTAAAAAAAAACTACATTCGCTCTTGCTCCTAAAGTAATACCTATACAACCATCAAATTGTTTAACTACAAATTGTTGTTACGTATTTTACATTGTTACTATAAAAACTATACTTTTTAACAATATATAGTAAAAATTTAAGAGCTAATAATGCTGTACATTTCAATAATTTGATTGCAGCAGAACACAACACATTAGGTAGATTATAGAATACTATCATAACTATTTATTAATCACACATTTTCACAACTAATATAAATAAGGAAATATAAATTTTCATTCTATAAGCATGGAGTGGAAAGCCATACAACCCTTCGATCAACAATTCTGTAGATAACGGGTTGCATACAAAATCAAAGCTAAAAACTGTCCGCATATGTGTAAACTTATGCAGCGAAAATCGATTCCCAATGAACAAAGATAAATTTTTAAAACAGTTGACGTTGAACCTAATAACAACTATCTGACAAAGGAATAAGGTATATAAATAACAAAGTGTTATTTCGCACATACAACCTTTTATCTTATAAACGAACCCACAAAATAAAATATTTTTACCAGTCATTGGCCAGCGAGTTACTTCGATTTGTATTAACGAAACTAATTTAAAAAAAGAAAAAAAAACCAGGACGGATTTTACGCGCTAACACGTTATCTATAGAATTGTTGATCGTAGATACAACCATAAAAAGGTAATACACAACAAATAAGATTTCTTTTCAAAGTTAATTATAAGCTAAGTAAATGCAGGTCACAGAGACCAATTTTGATTAGAATTTTACCTTACATTAACAATGACAAAATGCTGATCAAACTCATTAGGCCAAGAAAACACATTATGGCCATACTTACAGAACTTAAGGAAATGTAGTCAATTAAAATCATGTGTTCATCTTTTTATATTATTACAGAGAAGAAGGCGAAGGCAAAATATTTAGTCAAACTTGATAGTTAATTGACTTCTCCGAGTAGGGCCGTCATCGGACTTTAAATTATAATTTGGTAAAATTCTCATAGGAGAAAATATTTTCATTGTAAAGTTAAATTAACTTGTCCTGAGGCTCAAGCACAAACTGTCAGTTCCGTAATCGTATCGTCATCGTCAAATTTTGTATGGAAGGAGTTAGTTTGCTCTTACAGCCGGTAGGGGCGCTGCTTTGTTTTCATAGAAACTTTAGCGCTTTTTGGCGAAAATACGTGCCTAGGCCCCTAATCCAAGATGTAAGCACAACATAATTTAATTGTATATAGAATATAAATTAAACAAAACATCGCTTAGCATCCAAAGGATTAAAAATAAGAAGTTGTAGAAAAACACAACAGTACCCTTTGCACAAAGACAAAATACTACTGATGAAATCTATTTTCAGTGATTGTATTGTTGTTACTTTGGCTAAGACAGCCTCCTATCTTGTGTGATGTAGATTTCTTGTCTTTTGTATATTTTTTACCAGACGGCCTCACACCACTGTCTTAGTAGTACGGCGGGCTGTTTCCGCAACTCGACACCCAGTACCTATTTTGCGTGGGGTCACTCACTCACACCACTGTACCCACATGGGGTCTATTAAGATTGGATAATTTTAGACCAATTTTTATATATGAAATGAAAAACTAATCACAATTCATTTTCAAAATAAAAATTTTCATCACAGGCAGTTTATCAAAGTTCTGTAAATAGAGCTATATAAAGTACAAATTATCAAACTATAGGAACTACTAAACTTAAAAAAAAAATATATAATCTCCTACATTTTAGTTTGCAGCAATTTTTTAACTATATACATAATTATATAGCAAATATGTGATATGATATTTATACCAATTACTCATTAAAGATGTATAACTATAAATTATTCATAGTTATATCTTGGTATTCTAATACTCGATATTACTCAGTGAGTACATAAAAATGTTAAGCTTATTTACTATATTTCATTAACAAAATACACAAAATGCATCATTTTATAGTACAGCATATCAGTAGTTACAAATCATATTGATGTAAAGTTATCTCATCAATAATATAGATACAGACAATACTAGCAAATTGAGCATAATTGTTCTTAAAACAGTATCTTCATTGATTATTATTAGTTTTTCCAGTTCACAAAAACTTTTTAAGTATTTGGTGCATATTTGCCCTATCAAATTTGGTTTGTCACAAACAACCAGGTGGTAAAGGCATATCAATCAATTTACACACTTCTAACCGTAAATTCTTTAAAATAGCTGCTTGATTATCTTTGGATCCATTAATTGTTATTGTAGGAATAAATGATGGACTGATTATGTGTGTGTCATCACCATATTTTTTTAATAACTCTGATCCATTGTCATCGCTGGCACAGCTACTGATGGGATCAGGATCAATTTTCAACTCTTTGGCACACTAAAACAATGTGAAAATCATATATTTAAAAGCATAACATATAACTATAGTAGAATAAGATAAATAAAATTAACTATCTATACATATAATAAAATGGTAGGAAACTCAAAACTGTACATTGAATATTTTTTTAACAGAATACTTAAAGTGTAATCTACTATCGATACCGAAGTCAAAAATATAGTTTTTAGAATTTTTGTCTATTTGTCTGTATGTATATCCGGGATAAACTCAAAAAGTACTGCATGGATTTACTTCAAATTTGACATGAATATTAATATAATAAAATATTAAAAACTCAATTTGGTGACATTTAAAATAGATTTTGATTGAACTGAATGGTTTCACATAAATATGTCTCAAGGTGAGTAAGTCTACAAAATAAATTATAAGCTTAGTTACCCTTTTCAATGCTCCATCTGCATCCAAGTTATCAATGATCATGCAGGTTGTCATCTTCACAGCCATAGTCATGTTAACAATTGATGCAATTGAGCATGCATGAATTTTATTTGCATAACACTCTTCTTGTCCATGTTGACAGTCAAAGAAATATTTTCCATGACTCTCTTTTGTCTGCAATCAATATGTTTAATAGTATTGTTTAGTAATATGCTTGCATCTTATAATCTTCATTAAAAATGATGCATAAATTATCAAGATGACCTGAGCTTTTCCATATGGTACTAAAGTAATATCTAAGAAGTCTGATAACTTTTCAGTGACTGGACCCAGATGTTTGATGAAAAAATGTTTTGAATCTGGACAGAGAGCCTCATAATACACTCTTACTTTCACTTTATCCTTTATGTGTTTGTTAAATCTGTCATCTTCTAGCTCAACTATATCCTGAATAAAATTTAAGTAGTTATTGGAAACACCAGCAACATAGTAAGATTAAACTACAGAAACAGAACGTGGTAAATCATGTGACGATTTTGATTACAAAATATAAGCACGAAAATAATTATACTCGTTTACCTGAGACAATTGAACCTGTTTTTTGGGAAATAATTGAAAAACTTGCCATACTATTAACCCTAATAAAACGACAACGAGCAGTCTGTATCTATTACAAGAATAAAAAGCCATAATTATGAATTATATTAGAATAACATCACATATAAACTGCAACCTCATAGAAATACTGTTAAAGCGAAATTTAACTATTGTAATTCACAACAAGATGCATTAGTTCCTTTTATAGGATTAATTTTATATTATTACTCCGTCCACTCTTCCAAATTTTTTATTTTTCCTTGTCTGTCATCACTTTTTTTTTAATTTATTTAAAGCATTGGCTTCCAGGGCCATTAGCTTAAACATAAACAACTTGCTTAGTGAAAATAAGATATGAACAACAGGAATTAGCAAAAATAAAACAGGGAAATCTAACATAATCAACTAATTACTTAATAATAACTTAATATAAAATAAAACGTAAAGAAACAGAATTTTAAACATATTCATAACAATCACAAGGGACCAAATGTATTAATGAAAAAATCATAAATAATGCTATACAGTTCTCTAAATCTTAACATATTTGTTTCTTAGGTTTTCACGCACATCACTCATTAAATAAAACTAGTTTTTACGGGTTAATGCACGAAACTAAGCGTAAAAATTAAGCGTTCTCGAACGCTCAATAAAAGTCTTTCGAAGGTAGCTCGACAAATTAAATAAAAGTTTTATTCTGACGACGAAGCCTGTAAAGGCTACGAAACGTCAATAAATAAATAAAGTTTCGTGCATTAACCCGTAAAAACTAGTTTTATTAAATGTTTTACATTTTGAGGGAAATCATTTATCTCTATCAAATCTTTACAAGAGCATATAAAAAGAAGTCGTTGAATATTAAAATACTTGCAATCAAAGAATAAATGTTGAAGATCACAGTTTGGATGTTTACAATATTTACAAATTGAGTTAACGCTCAGTTTAAGGCGATAAAGATGACATGGAAATTTACAGTGACCTATTCTTAATCTACATAATCTAGTTATAAAATTTCTACTTATAAAAGCTGATTTTTCAAACCAAGCTTTTGTACTGGGCACAGGGACAATTTCCATGCTTGACTGACAGTGACAGTACAGCAGTGTTATGTTGTCAAATAAGTAGGTATCTCTTTTTCCTCCAAATCTTCCCGGAAATCCTTTCACCAATTTAGGCTTTTGGCTTATAAAGTCTGTGAGTTTTGAAGATAAAATTGCCCCAAAAAATCGGCGACCATGTGCGAGCTGTTGTCACACATGTTGGACTACTCAATTTATAGAATCCAGAGCCGTAAAACATATTAATAATACTCAATTTATAAGGCAATATACGAATGCATTCAAGTTATTCCTTTGAGAGGAGTTTCTCGACTTAAGCCGAAAAATGAAACTAGCATAATAGGGCGATGTGTTTTTTTTTTAAATAAATATCCTCTAATCTTTAAAATTCTAATTTAATCCTATATTTGTGGGGATTTGCAACCAATCAGGCATCAGTGCTGACCGTAGACCAGTGATGTGCCGAGTCGGTTATTTTTAGTATTCGGGTATTTTAGTACTCGTTAAAAAAATATTCGAATTAGGACTAGAATCGGAAGACTCGGACAGGTATTCGAGCACTAGCACTAGTATTCGAATACTTTACTGGTCTCGAGTATTTCTTGAATTTGCTTCATCATCATCATCAAAAATCATATTATATGAATGATAGGAAAATATGTAAATAATAATAGATTAAATGTATAATCAGTCATTTATTGATATTATAATAATGATATTAATAAGCCCCCGGTCTATATTCTAATAGTTGACCTGAATAGCATTTTTTGACGTAAAAGTCATCTGTAACCTTTCACTGGTACTTTGTCAATGTCATTTGATTGACCTGTAGATGGCGATACTAATGAGTCTAATGACTCCTAGTCCAAATCAGAACTCTCATTCAAGCTTTCGTTTTCATTTTGCTTAGTTTTTGATGTGTAACATCTTTCCTTTCGCTTTCCTGCAATTTGTGGGAGTGATTTCGTGAAATGAGACGGAAGTGTGTAATAGGAAGTCGCGAAAGCGCGCGCTATTTGATTTGATTTTAGAACATAATGTTCAAATGGCTTTTTCCTTTTGTAGTAGCTTTTACAGTAGAATCCGTTTATTATGACTCCGCCTATATTGACCAACCGCCTATTATGATGTAATTACACAACGAAGTTTGGTTTTCATATAAAATTCATTGTAACAATGTCGGATATAATGACTTCGCTTACAGTGACATGTCGCTTATTATGACCCATTTTTAATCAATTTTGTCTGTTTATAGTGACCGACATGGTACTTTACACCTACGGTAATGTTCGTTGATTCCCGACAACGTTCGGCACGTGGCTCGTTTTTGTTTTGAATCTCAGTAATTTACATTTGAACACCACGCATTGTTTTTAGTGATATCCTATGTAATAAAATGTCATCTCAACGTCGTAAAGCATTTACGACTGAGGAAAAAGGTGCAATAATATCATCATCATCATCATCAACAGCCTATCTTAGTCCACTGTTGGACATAGGCCTCTCCAAATGCACGCCACTCAGATCGATCTTGGGCTACTCTACTACTACATTGGCAATAATATGCTGATTAGGAAATGGAGAATCAAACTCATCTCACAATCTTTTTTCAGAAAAATGCTTTGTATGACGTCCGCTTAGTATGACGTGTTTATCGATTCCCTTCGAAGTCATAATAAACGGATTGTACTGTATTTCTTTTTTTACTAATATAAGGAGGGGTTTCAAATGTTTCACATCATACGCGACTACTGTAAGGCTCGCTTTTTCTTTTTTCTATTATCGCTGTATAAATCAAAGGATGTATTTTTTTCAAATTGTGGTGTTTCCAAAATTAACAAATATTTTTTTACACTCCAATTTTTTATTTGTTAAAATAATATAAAAATTCCAAGCTTCGGATTTTTTCTTCGGAGCCATCCTATCACAAAGTCACTAGTTAAAAAACAGTAAAACTTTACACAAATTCTACAGTTAAACTGGTAACCGAGAGTTCGACTAATTAAAATAGGTAATTACTGATAAGAAATAAATATGTAATTAAACTTTTGTTAACATCTCAAATGAGAAATAAATAACAGATCGGCCGAGTAGGAAACATAAACACGTTCAAACCTGCACCGACTCATCAACACTTCACGTAACTAACTTCACTGTATGAGTACAACGACTGAGTACTCGAAACCTGTACTCAAGTACTGTGGATCCGAACATAATATATCGAGTACTCGAGTACGTGAGTACCTTTTAGGGCTGGGCTGCGTTCCAAACCTACGTCCTGAGTACAACTTTTTACCCCGACGTTCCTCGCACAACACCGAGTTGATATGTGTGACTTTTAAACGGGATGAGAGAGATATTTTAAAGAGGTAGGGTATAGAGGATTTCCCGCTCCAATTGGAGCGCCTGTCTGGGGAAGCAACCTCCACCACCTTCTGTAAGGTGGAGGTTACTTCCTCAGACTCATTTTGTTGCTCTATTTTTGCACAGAAGAGTTCACAGACGCGAGTCTCGAGTGGAACGTGTCCGTGATGCTAGCGTACCCACGATCAATATACGGTTTTTCGTTATGCCATTAAATACTGCGTAAATAGTGCCAAATTAGTGTAAAAATAAAAAAAATAGTGCCTCTTTAATTTAAGAAATAAAGACCATTTTTACTGTGTACGCTACCATGACGTCAAGCTAGCGTACCCATGGCCGACCCCAAGAACGGCATATATTTAAGCAACGAAATTGACACACAAAAATACTTCGCAAATAGTGCCCTGGCTTTACAAAATTTCATAATCAATACTCTTAAAGTACCAAAGATATTGAACTAAACATTCTTAGCTGGCGTCAACCTGGCGTACCCATAATAGTTCTCATAGAAAATGAACTTTTTTCGTTATCAATTCTATATGTATAAATAGTGTGTCAAATAGTGCCTCTAACAGTAAAAGTATTTTATGTGAATTCACAGTAAAACAATATAAAAAAGCAATTAAATTATTTTTATATATAAAGTACAGTCATGTACAGAAGTGATAATATTTTCGTAGTATAGCAGGTAAGTAAGGTACTTAGTAGGTAGGTTGAAATTCTTATATGAATTTATGATTGGTGAATTCGAATTGAAATAAAATATCTTTTTATAAAAAGTACCTATTTATTTTAGTAAAAATACATATATAGATAATTTCTTAGTGCATAAATTAATTTTGTGTGCAACTGTACTACAATACATTTGTTCCAATTTAAGATTCTTTTTATGTATTGTTGTGATGCGGTTTCACATAAAATACTTTTACTGTTAGAGGCACTATTTGACACACTATTTATACATATAGAATTGATAACGATCAAAGTTCATTTTCTATGAGAACTATTATGGGTACGCCAGGTTGACGCCAGCTAAGAATGTTTAGTTCAATATCTTTGGTACTTTAAGAGTATTGATTATGAAATTTTGTAAAGCCAGGGCACTATTTAGGGGTCATCCATAAATTACGTCACACGAATTTCATGTCTTTTTTGCCCCTCCCCCCGTCCTTGTCACAGCTGGTCACATTTGTAAGACTCCCCCCCTCCCTAGTGTGACGTCACATATTTTGCAAATTTACATTTAGAAATCATTGAATGAAAACAGCGGTTCTGTAATCAGTTTTATTTCCATTTAAGTTGTTTTTTCATTATTATTATAATCAAATCAAACAATTAACAAAACAAAAAAAATACCGAACAAAAAGTGATTGACTATGTTAATTAAAGAAATTAACAAAACATAAAATATTAATAGCATTATAATTAAATTAAAGATACAAACTTAATAATCTTGAGTCCATGGACATTGATCCCACTCCTTTAAATTATTTATAACTGGCATAGCACCACTTTGTTCTCGTTTGGGTTGTTAATGCTTTCGTAAAGTAATAGTTTCAACACTTACACACATCAAAAGTGTCTAGGGATCAACATATATTTTTGCAATAACTTTTCTCCTGATTGATATTAATTAAAATTTTCTTTAAGGATTCATCAAATAAAGTGTTTTCGTTTGTCACAGTAACGATAAACCAAGTCACCTTTGCATTAATAAAGAAATTTGCCATTTTCCTAATAAAGGGATTTTTGACATTTGAACCACTAACACAAAAGTTCGAAAAAAAGACTGAAATAACAGTTTTCTCTAAAATTTTATTGGGTAACTTAAACAATTAATAATCCGTATTTCTACCGCGAACACTAACAACACAAGAACATCGGTTTGGCATACTCAAAATGAGTTCATCCAAATCACGCTGTGGAATGGCCGCCCATGTTCGTTGCAACAACAAAAAAAGGTCTTCTTGCGACTGGATACCCTCCATATTCGGCAGAGCTCTTCTCTGTAGCATATCCCATGCATGCTCAATCGGGTTCAAGTCTGGCGACTGAGCAGGCCAGGGCAGGACATTGATGTTAGCTGCGGCGAGAGTCTGTCTTACAACTCTTGCGGTGTGCGGTCGTGCATTATCATGCATTAACTGAAATAAGGGACCGATTTGCACTTGTAGAGGAACGATGACGTCTGATACAATCGTCTCAGCATAAATTTGAGCGTTGAGGTTGCCTCTGATCCAAATCAACTCAGTTCTTCCGCCGATCCAAATACCCGCCCATACCATGATGGTTCCACCACTATAAGGATGGACTTCCTGGCAGGATTTTAATCGCTGTTGGCGTCCAGGGGTTCTCCAGTGTCGTATACGTCTTGTATCCGGTCTCATACCAAAACGAGACTCATCAGAAAAGCACACGAAACGCCATTGTTCTTCTGCCCAATTTCTGTGTTCAAGAGCCCATTGATATCGAATCCTACGATTGTGCATTGCTATAGGTGGTACCCGTAGCGGTCTTCGGGAATGAAGGTTCACTTCATGCAAGCGGTTTCTGACTGTTTGGTCGCTAATTAAGTTCCCTGAAGAGTGATGAAGCCTCACGGCTAACATCATGGCGGTTATTGTTGGAGCTCTTCGAGTTAAGATTTGAATGTATCGGTCTTGTCTCCGTGTGGTGCAGCGATACCGTCCTCCATGGCGCTCAGCCACGGTACCAGTGCTTCGGTATCGTGTCCAAAGTCGACTGATAACACTCTGACTTGTATTCAGAGCTAAAGCCACAGTACGTTGCCGGGAACCAGCTTCTATCATTCCCACGGCTCTGAGCATTTCTTCCCTGCTTAAATGACGTCGCCGCTCCATAATAACGTTGGTTTTAATCAATAGTAGGGAAACAGTAGCACTAATAATGTCTTCAATGCGTTGTATGTTTTTATAGGGAAAATATTGACAGCTGATTTTCATCTTTTACTCGAATTTGATTCACAGTTCCTGATTCAAATTATGAAATGCACCAAAAAGGACCCATATAAATTTATAAAATCATAAATTTATTACAAAGCCACATCTCAATCTCAAGAAATCCGCATAAAAATGCTTGATCCCTAGACACTTTTGATGTGTGTAGATTTTAATTTAATTTGAAATGTGACGTCACGAAATTTAGGACACCTCCCACCCCTTGTCACACGATGTCACATTTCGTCGACCCCCTCCATACCCCTTAAAGTGTGACGTAATTTATGGATGGCCCCTTACGAACTATTTTTGTGTGTCAATTTCGTTGCTTAAATATATGCCGTTCTTGGGGTCGGCCATGAGTACGCTAGCTTGACGTCATGGTAGCGTACACAGTAAAAATGGTCTTTATTTCTTAAATTAAAGAGGCACTGGGACCAATTCTGGCGTTACATTCTCTAAACCTAAGTAGCGAGCTAATTTTAGTTTAGGTTTAGTGAATTGGTATTCCGAAATTGCGAACTAACTAAATTAAGATCACAAGTGACAGATGTAATCGAGCATCTAAATTGAATTCACAGATTATGTAAAAGCATTGAACCGGTAATTATCGGTTTACTCAAATTAGCAATAAAAACTTATTATTCAGTGATTTTGACTTATTTCAGTAATTCTTTGTTGTTCTTCATCATCTTTGAAATATGAAAACTTAACATAAGTTTAATACCTCGACCGAGCAATTAGGTAGGTACCGTTGCGCCGTGATGCAGTATAATCACTCAGATAAAGTAAACACGGTAAGTGTACTCGTCCGAGGAAAACGTTTCTGTTTTGTCTGAGGTATCACTACGATTGCCCGGCGGCACCGCGCCGGCCGGCGCTGTATTCATGCAACGGGCCGTGGCCGAGCCGAAGCGAGACCAAGTTTTTTCCGAGCGTTGTTTCATTTGATGCTCGGTTGTCAGAGGGTTACCGCACGGAATAGCGTAAATGTGTCCATAATCCTTAAAAAATATATTATTTAATATGAGTTGACTAGAAGAGCTCGATGGCGCAGGTGGTCAGGGCGTTCGGCTGCGATCGTTGAAGTTAAGCAACTTTCGCAGTGGTCGGTCATTGAATGGGTGACCGAAAATCTTCTATCTGGAGTTTCTCCGTGCTTCCGAAGGCACGTTAAGCCGTTGGTCCCGGCTGCATCTGCAGTCGTTAGCACCCGCCAATCCGCACTGAGCCCGCGTGGTGGGTCATGGCCCAATCTCCCTATTCCATCCATAGGGAAGGCCTGTGCCCCTGCAATGGAGACATTAATAGGCTGATGATGATGATGATGATTCGTTAACTCTGCTACGGCCGACACGGTCTAACGTAAATCATCCTTGAAAATTTCCTAGGTACCTACGGTTATAAATTCCGGTTTCGGTCAGAGGTTGTAATTATCCCCTCGGCTGTTTTGTGAAGATTTTGTACTCATTTATTTTATAATCGGAGATGCGTAACCTATTTTTTTTATCTTTTTTTTGTTTCTATCAGTTTTTGGCGATATCGTCCCAAATCCCAATTATTCATTTGGTGAATGCCAAACACTTTCGGATATATAAAAGCAAACTTCTCAATTACAAACAGTAGGAACTTATTTCGTGTTAGGTTATTATTAGCTTATAAAAAGTGGGAAATAAAATTATTTCTAACAAATATTAAAAATTGCTTCATAAAAACAAAACCACTAAAAACAAAGGAACAAATAATAAATTAAAGTCCTACATTTTAGTCAAAATAACATTTGGATTGGAATTGGTGATTGAAATGCATATCACTGACACCATACCTATTATTTGTTAATTATTTGACTAAGTATGTACTTTAGATATAAGTAGGTACTGTAGGTATTACTTAAGGAATTAGCACATAGATATCTTACCTCTTTAGCTTGTTTTTTATATGAAGTGGATTTTTATTTATGTTAAAAAAGATTTGACCTTAAATTATTTAGTATTTTATACAAGATATACGTATACATTACCTACGAGAGACCACAATAACGCAAGTGTAACGCGTTCGTTCTGCGATCGTGAAGTTAAGCAACTTTCACAATGGCCGATCTTAGGATGGGTGACCAACCAAAAATGTATTAATTCGAGTTTCTATGTTGCTGCTCGCTGCATCTGCAGTCATTAGCCTAAGCTGCATTAGGCCTGCGTAGTGACTCATGACACATTAATAGGCTCATAATAAATCCGCATCGTAACATAGACTTACCTACCTTTAAAAAAAATAAAAGAGATAGCTAATATATTATTAGCACCGTCGTCGTTCATTATTGTATAAAATTTATGGCTTTTTTTAACGAAATAAACCCATATCCAACCTTAACAACAAGTTTAAAATTTAAGTACATCAATCATTTACTTAATATTTGGCCCGATTATTCACATTTAAATTTAGAGAGGACCTCCGTAGGTCCTTCTTAAATTTAGTGTGACATTTCTAATTTTAGAGAAAATATGACATTTAGAACGCGTTTCAGAATACCATTTAATCATCTAAATCTAAGTTGAATAACTTAGCGACGTCAATTTTAAATTTAGAGATAGGGTGTTATTACAGAATACCAAATTGAATTTGACAACTCTATGTCAATTTTAGTTAGTTTTAGATATAAGTTGGCACGCCAGAATTGGGCCCACTATTTTTTTTTTACACTAATTTGGCACTATTTACGTAGTATTTAATGGCATAACGAAAAACCGTATATTGATCGTGGGTACGCTAGCATCACGGACACGATGGAACTCGCGCTCGCTGTGGTCCACAGAGTAACTTATTATAACCGAAAACGATCCAACTGGTCCGAAATATCGTGTCCGCGAGCCTTTGCTCGAGTACAGTTAGAAAGGGATGTCGCTATGTGCTATATAATATAGCGACATCCCTTTCTAACTATGCTTAAGACTAGATTAATTACTGAGAATCTTTCTATAATACGGGCCTGAGAATCTTTCTATAATATTGGCCTTAGTTGTCATTCTGTAATACGGGCCTTAGTGTACATTCCTCGAGCGCACTTTTAAAATAGATTGCCTTTGGGTATTATCTATTTTGTGCTTTAAGTTTGCGGATTTCGCTTTTGTGATCGACAACTACGAAAACGTAGGTATGTATATTGCGGCTCAGCACGAACTTGCCATTTTTTAACAATACTGAAAGGAAAAATAAAACACACATTTTTTGAAGTTTATAAATTATTCAGTCAGATGAAGGGCGTTAAATCTTTCTACGTCATAAAATCCAGCTTTAACTTGCCGCCCGCCAAAAAATCTTCCATTCAAATCTACGACTGCTTTTATAGCGCTTTCGATGCGTTTGAATTCAACAAATATTCTCACTGCTTCATCTGATGGGGCATTAGGCATTTCATATATCAATACTTTCATTACATCTCCATATTTCGTGTTACATTCATCTTTCACTTCCGGCTCAAGTTCTTCATCCACATCCCCAGGTCCGACCATGTTCTGAAAAATATGATGGTTAAAGTCGTATCTTCAATTAAATATATTAATATTACTACCTTTAGGCGCTTTGCAGACGACGGGGCGGGGCGGGCCGGTCAATTTCGCCGCGAATAATAGCACAAAGTGAATCCTATACTTCAAACGCACACAGCGGTCAAAAAGACCGCGCCTTGGGTGCCCGGCGGGCACTGGCGGCGCGGCATTTCCGCGGCTACCCGCCGTGGATCATACAAACCAGTTTATATGCAGTAACGCAGACGGCGGCGCGGGGCGGTCATGGACTATTCACTAGAACGAACGTCCTAAACTGACCGCCTCTGCCCGTCGTGTGCTTTGTGTACGCGGCGCGGGCAGCCGCAGACATCAACGGGCAGACGCGGTCTTTATTGCTTCGCGGACAAAATGCCCGCCCCGCCCCGTCGTCTGCTCAACGCCTTAGTGATACTCTATGGCAGTGTGCACACCAAATATCGTCCTGCCCTGATTGCACCTTCCTAACGAGTCGGTGTGGGTTTCTGTGGCGAATCTGTACAACTCCGTAACGTATCGCATCGTCAAAGATTCTATGAAAACTAAGCAGCGCCCATATCGGACGTAAGAACAAACTAGCTTTTTCCATACAAAATCTGGGCCTCAGATTCTAAAACCAGAGCCACTTCTTGACCGGCTCGGTTTCGGTGTGGGATCGTTTTGTTTGCTACCGTTTTGTTTGCGGGAGTGAGTAACTTATTAGTTCCAGGACATGCTGATCAGTCCTCTTTGGATCCAGCAATATGGATAGTGTAGTAGTAAAAGTCCTTAAGTTTGGTACAAACAGGTACAAACACTGCATCAAACTCTAGTTATTTATAAAACAGACAAACTAATAAAAAAAAGTATGAAGAAACAAAGCCAAGCCAAATTAATTACTTACTCTTAAAAGTACAACTTTGCTAGGTGATTTCATTATTTCTGTAATTGAAGGTTCTTGTTTCGAAAGTTGTGAAGGATCAGATGATGCATTTGGTGAATCTGTAAAGAAACAGACAGTATTTTTCAAATTTGTTTTGAAAGACGCGTCCACACAGAGCAAGCACCTTCCTCGTGCGGCAAATGGCTCGCGAGGAAATTGTGTGGACGCACCTATAATATAATAATAATATATTATAATGACTTTCCCCATCGGAAATCTCCTTGGGCAAAATATATTTTTCAAGATATAATCAAAAATAAGTCATCTCCAACATCATTATTAACATGAATCACAAATGAACACAACTCTTCATTTTGTCCGTTTATTACGATAAAGGACAAATACTATCAAGGAATTGAAAAATTAGCCTTTAGAGCCTGCGCTACGTTAAGCGGGAGGGAACAAGGAGCGGGTGCCCACTCTGCGATCAGTTTGTATGTTATTTCATATAACAGCGCTGCGCGGGAGACCCGCCACACGCGCCCACCCGCGCTGTTCTATGAAATAAGATGAAACAAACTGCTCCCGCTTAAGGCAGCGCAGGCTCTTATGGCCAGTTTCAATAATCAAGCTCCGGAAAAGGTAAGGATAATCTGGTTTTGTTCTTCAGCAACAGTCTTTATTATAATGTCAATATTGAAAATAACTACCTAGATATTTTAACAGCACAACTCTAATAGGCGTATCTCTTACTGGAGTTTGACTTATTGAAACTGACTGTTAGTTTGTTCTTGTATACCTGGACCAGGTGGCGTAGGCATGGCGAATGCAGGTGGAGGCATCACAGTGCCATCCTTTTCATGAATAATACGACCACCTCGTTTTGATGTTTTCTCAACTTGAAGTGCCACTGACATTCCTTGCTCCTTCTTGCCTAAACCTTGACCTTCCTGTATGAAATTATGACATACAAAAATCATAAATTCTTCCTAGTAAACTTCAGAGAGCCTCAAGATAAATCAGAATATGTATCTGCTACAGAAAAATAAAAACCCTACTTTTCACCTCAATTTATTAATTAGTATTACTTATTTTATTAATTAGTTATTTACCTTTAAGTCATATTTCTATTTATTATTAACAGCATTATTATTTTATTTACCTTGAAGCCATATTTAGCCATGATCTTTGCTGCCACCGAGCTAGCTCCATAGCCTCCTAATGAAAAGCCAGCGGCTGGAGTAGCGATGGGCGCAGCAGGTGGCGGAGACGCTGTCTCAACGGTCAATGAAGGTGGTGGTGCTATAGCAGCTCCGGCTGATCTCTTTGAAATTTCTACAGCTTCTTCTTCCTCTGGTTGCTATTGAAAATAAAAATAAGAATATTAAGATGTACACTACACAACCTCTTATGGATAATATATTATTTATTTCATTCATTTAAAGTTGTTTGTGTACGCAGTTAAGTACCTAGCAATATCCGAAAATGGAGGGTCAAAAAGTTAAAAAAGCTACTATTAATAAAAAAATATATTAATGAAGCCCATTATAAGATGTCTCATTTAGACAAAAATTGGATTTAAACTGTTCTAAACGTTCCGGCACGCTTTTTCTGTAATTATGATGAAGATGATATGATTTTGTATTGACACCGTAACAATTTATGATTTTGTAAATATTGCTACATAATTATTTAATGCTGTGAAGTTTCTTTCACCAGTTTCTTCTCCACAGCTAAATAAATGTCCTTATCTGATAGTAGGGAAAGAATATGGACAATTCAAAAAGAGTTGTATTGTGAATTCACTTAGAATACTTTTTTGATTATTATATTTTTATCTTATATGTTTAAATTCATACCAATTTCATTCAAATCCAATAATTGAATAAAAAAGAGACATAAAATGATAGTTTTGTGATATATAATAATGTTATAGTGTATTTAACTGAAGACCAAGGAACTCGACGGAGCAGGTAAATAGCGCGTTCTGCCTGCAATTGTGGTAGTTAAACAACTTTTGCAATGGTCATTATACTCTTCAGCTCCTCCGTGCCTCAGAAATCACGTTAAGCATATTCACTTTGGTCCTGGCTGCATTTGCAGTCGTTAATACCCACAAATACGCACTTGAGCTGCGTGGTGGGTCACAGCCCAATCTCACTATACTATAGTCAATTGGGAAGGCCTGTGCCCCAGCAGTGGGGACATTAATAGGCTGATGATAAGGTGTAATTGTGATGACTGTGAGAGATATTTAAACTATCATAATTCAATATTATGATACAGTATAAATATCTACCAGTCTTGTTAAAATATTACCATTGCTACTAAGGTTTTCTCAGGAATGGTGTCCTCTTCATCACCAAATCTACTCTTTCGTTTTCTTTCAGACCTCTCGTTTCTGTCACTGCCATCTAACTGAAGTCTCTTTGCTTGCATTTCTGCAAAAATATAAGGTAATCATATAAAGCCAGATCTCCAGCAAAAGTTTTTTTGAAAACACATAATGGCCAAAAAGAATACCCTGCCCATCAACTCGCACGGGGGTAATTTGTGTATGTTTTCCATCAGGCTCAGAAAGCAAAAACTATGTTTGATGCAAACTATTATGTGTAGTGAAACAAAGTTTTGTGTAGATGGTTTTATTGAATGTTGATTGTGTGGAGCAAAACAGTTGCTGGAGACCTAACTTTACCTCAACCTTGCATGTACCTATCAAGACTAAAATGACTGTCATCAGCATTCTAAAGTAAAATATAATTTTAATTGTATTAAAAAATAGGATGAAACTTTTGTTGTTATAGATTTATATATTTCTTTGTCTACACATTTTAATAAATATATACTGGGACCCTCACCTTTGGCTACCTTTTCATAATCATTAGGCCACATTGGATCATATTCATTAGGCACATTCCAGTCAAAATCCCGAACATTCAATGAGGCTGTGAATGTACGAGGTTGTGATTTTGGACTATTAGAACTGGATTCTTCATCATCTTTTGGTTTGCTCTTCAAATCAATAACTGGGGTCAAGACCTAAGACAGTAAAAAATCATTTAAATAACAAACATACACGGAACAAGTTATATTATAAAGAGACATAGAAAAATTACTTATAGTATATCCAACCAAAGGCTCAATCTGATTGTTACCTGTGTTGAACGCCGTTGTGCCTCTCTTTTTGGCTGAGTTACAGCTGCTTTTTTAAGCTGAAGTTGCGACTGTAACAATTTTATGCCTGAAGACCACCCAGCAACCTTTTCCGTGGTCCTAGCTTTTATTGTATCTAAATCATCGTACAAAGACATGCTGTGGAACAACAGGGCAAACAAAATAATATAATTTAGGTTTGTTAATAGACTACAAGTTAGAATAAATTTATATATTTTCTGCCACAATTGGATAGACTACTGTAAATATATGTTATATCGATGATAATATTATGATCAAAGACAAAATTCAATTTATATAAGAATTAAAATGTCCATCCATCCATTGCATTGTTAGACTAACTCGGTTATATATAATAAGGTACTCTGTGACCAGTGTTGCCAACTCGGATTTTGAAAAAGGCGTAGGCCCGATGACAAAATTACGTAGAATTAGTAAAATTTGCATATGAAAAGTTCGTAGATCTACGTATTTTTTTCTGAGAGAAAAACGTTAAAACGAGTATTTTGATATACAATTTATTTAATTAAAGGAGATAGAACATAGAATTCTTGGAGAAGACGCTACATTGGCAGCATTTACCATGCTGTGGTAGACATTTACCATCAGACACAGACGCTGCTAGGTGTCAATTTTGGCATAATTCTCTAAACTTAGCACTAAATTTAACATCAGTCTCTCCTTTTCATTCTGTATAAAGAATGACAAGTTAAACTGTTATCAAAGGGTAGTTGATTTTTGAAAGACATTTTTGAAAATATGTTTTAAATGGTTAATAATTGTTATATTAGACCGAAAAAAATGTATTGTAGTAATTATCATGATTGTATTATGCGAGAATGTAGAATCACAACGTTAAAGACTCCAGAAAAGTTGTGGTTTAAATTGCCCAGAGAAATAAACATATCTACACATGAACACATGTTTAAAACTTTCTAAATCCTGTAACTTTATCGACTGAAAGTCATTTCTTTTTGCAAAGATCACTTCGGTGTAAGTACTGATTCAATAATATTTTAAGTTTATAAATAAAATTTTTAAGTTTATTAATGTACCTACTAAGTAAGAGAGCTTTGTCGTTTCTGCTTTTACTAATTCGGCGTCCAGCATTAATTTAGTCAACAAAACCAATAAACGGAAACTCTTCTACAAGATGTAAGAGTCTTTAGATATATTTTAGTCCGAAGAAAGAAACCATAGTAACACAACAATGACGTTTAATTGTTTACAAATTTTGTGACGTCACAATCATGGCGGACAGCGTTTTCAGTGTTTAAAAAGTATAGACTAAAAATATTTTTTTCAAATTAGATTCCTACAGCCATCTTCTGATTTTGTGAAGTGAAATCGATGTATTTAAGTTCCTCGTACCAAAAACTATAAGAAATAAACATTTTTATAGTTTATAAGTAACGGAAAATATGATTCCCTATTCTAGTGAATTATGTTATTTTGCAAATTTGTACAAATTAAAAGAAAATACGTAGATTTTGGGACTGAAGTTAGTAGGTTTGCAGAAAAGGCCTAAAATACGTAGATCTACGTAAAAAGACGTAGAGTTGGCAACACTGTCTGTGACTAACTGTCACTCACTGTCAATAACACTGACTGACACTATTTTTGTGTTTTTTCAACATTCTCCCTTTTCAGGGAAGGCGTAGGGAACAAAGTACATACAGCCTTGTCTTACGTATCTTATGTTTTATTAATCTTTTTTACATTAGAATGTCGGTTTGACACATTCTAAACTTTCTTGGAGTGTTTGGCACGAAATGTATCTAGTAAGCTTTTTCTGTTAGGTGGTCAACAGTACAATAAAGTTCTCACGTCTGTTATCACCCACCAATCCGCGCTGGGTCCGTTATCACCCACCAAGCACTACATTCATGTATTTTGTGATGGGTATTATTCATTGTTTACCATTGAGTCACCGATGACACTAATCGTAACGCGAAATCGTAACACATTCGCCAGTTTACCCCCCAAGTCAAGCGTGCCTAAAAAAGTTTCACTTCAGAAATAAATAAAATAACCTCATAAAAGGATAGTAAAAGTAAAACAGGTAGTATAATATTACCTACGTCATTTTAGGTTCGCACTCTGGTGCACTGAAATCCAGTATTTAAATAAAGGATTATCCAGTCCATTGATTATGCTATTATCAAAAATACATATTCGTGACCAAAAAGAGGCTATCTCATAACAGCATTAAAGTCTGATATGCGAGTATCTGAAAACGCACAATCTCTAACCATAGTAAATTGATAAGATGTGCTTCTGGCGCGACACGACACGCCACGTTACGCAAATATGTTTCTGACTTTACTATACATTCATTTCTTGAAAAGTGTTACTTAAGCCAGAAACATATTAACGTGTCGTGTCGTGTCGTGGCGCGCCAGAAGCACATCGGTTTCATACATTTACTATGGTTAGAGACATATTTACGTTTGGTGTCGTGTCGACGCTTTAACCTCTCTATCTCTTTCTAACCCATAATAAATGTATGAAACCGATGCGCCACGTCACGCCACGACACGTTAATATGTTTCTGGCTTTACTTACTTCATTCTATACCAGGACAGCAGTATAGCAACATACAAAACTTTATCGTCCGACAGCTCGTGGATTCCGATGCTGCCGCCAACATAACGGTTATCGACGCGCAATACCGGTATGGTATCGGAGTTGGACAATGTATTACTTTCTCGATGAAATCTTCTGTAATCTGTACTGTTTTATCACCACTTTTTAGTGGTCTCCATGTCTCCCACCGTCTCTTTGACTTATGAACATCAATTTACAGTTGATCAGTTTATTTAAATTTACAGTGATGGGTATTCTACCAAGTAAAGATACAAGACGTGTTAGTTTTGATAATACTTTTGCATTAACATCAGCGTTAAATATACAAAAGTCATTAGAAGGTGACAATGTAACAGTTCTAGTTGATTTATCAGATGTGAGTTTATTTATTATTATTTAACTTTGAATTATGTTGTTATTTATCACTTCGTCCACCCACTTTTAAGCCCGTTTTCCACCACCAAAAAGGAATGAACTAGAGATGTCTAGCGGAGCAGTCATCGTGTACATAAAATAAGGGGGTTTTTCTTAAAGACTCCGTTACCCAATAAAAATGCTTATATCAGTTTCCACCAACAAAGAGTGGAGCAAAAATGACAAAGAGGGCAAATAGAGTACCCGTTTAGAAACTCAGTTCCTATCCTACTAATATTTTATTATTATTATTTGTTTGTTACTCAATCATGCTAAACTACTAAATAGATTTGGATGAAATTTGGTGCGCAATTAATTTATGACTTGGATTGAGACATAGGATACCTACTTATTTTTTAAACCGCAAAATTGTTAAATTTCTGAGGGATTTTCAAAATACTAAAGTTAACGCGGACGAAGTTTTCGGCGTCCGTTAGTAATATATAAGTTCCTTGATTTTTTTTTATAAGGTAGGCAAACGACTCTACCCCACCTGATGTTTAGTGGTAATAAAGTCCAAACGCGAAGATAGCTGGTACAGCAGTTATAAACTGCTGCACCAATCATCCTCACCTTGCTGGCCTGCAAAAATGCTTCTTCACGCCTCTCTTAAAGGACCCCAGGTTATAGGAAGGAGGGAACACTTGCGCGGGTAAAGAATTCCACTTACGAATAGTACGACAAAGAAATGAATCACCAAATTTCTTTGTTCGTGTAGGAATAATGGCCACAGTAAGTCGGTGGCAACGAAGGCCAGCGTGCGTGGTCCTCTGAGGAAAAGGTGATGGAGGGATAAGGGAGAATAACTCCTCAGAACACTCGCCGTGGTATAGACGATAAAATGCGCTTAATGATGCCATATCGCGGCGTAATTGTAGAGACTCGAGTTTCTTGGTTACCTCTTCATCGCCAATGATACGGACAGCGCGCCGCTGCAACCTATCCAAGGCATCGAGTAAGTACTTAGCGGAGCCATCCCAGAGGTGCGAGCAATATTCTACGCAGGACCGCACTTGCGTTTTGTACAACAAGCACAGTTGATCGGGCGTGAAAAAACGCCGCACCTTGTTCAGGACTCCGACTTTGCGTGAAGCTGTTTTGATCACGGTTTCGATGTAGTCCTTTGGATTCAGGTCTGAGCTAATTTCCATACCGAGCATGGTAACGTTGCTCTGTAACGCCAGTGTTGTGCCCTGAAGAGAGTGAAGGGGAAGGAATGGCGATGTTTTTGCCGTGAAAGCGCAGGCCTGAGTTTTCTTATTATTGAACTCAACCAAGTTGCTGGTACCCCATTCGGAAATGTGGTCCAAAGCCTGATTGAGTTCAGCGACAAGATTCTCCCGTTTCTCCTTGGTTTCTACCTGCCCAGCCGCTGCATGTCCAAAGTATCTCGCATGCACTGTATTATCGTCTGCATAGCAATGAATATTCGCAAGTGGAATCAAATCATTGATATGCAGCAGAAAGAGTGTAGGGGATAGAACGGAGCCCTGAGGAACACCGGCATTCACTGACATGAACTGCGAACTACATCCGTCTGTAAGGACACGAATTCTACGTTCACGCAGGAAGTCAGCTACCCAGGCGCAGAGATGAGCAGGCAGACCATATGCAGGAAGGCTAATAGCCAGAGACTCTCTCCGCTTGTCTATAGCTTCACCCCAGATGTGTGTCACGTACGCTAGAAGGTCACCTGTCGATCGATTCAGCCTAAATCCGTATTGATGATCGTGAATCAGAGAGTAATCTTCTAGGTAGCGGGTCAGATGTTTGTTAAGGACCCTTTCTAAGACTTTACACAACACTGAAGTGACAGCTATCGGCCGATAGTTAGCTGGGTCTGAGCGGTCCCCTTTTTTGGCACCGGTTGCACATTGGCATCCCTCCATGCCTCCGGCACACGCCGCAAAGAGTAAGAGAGTTGGTACAGGCGCGCAAGCATGGGAGACAACTCCGCTGCACAATGTTTTAGCACAACTGCTGGGATGCCATCGGGTCCACTAGCTTTCCGGACGTCGAGTGATTGCAACTCCGTACGAACATCACGTTGCCTGATTTTAATGTCAGGCATCGTAGTGCCACAATGAGGAAGTGTAGGTGGCAGTGCATTGCAATCACTGATTCGGGAGTTAGCCGCAAAGAGTTTTGCCAACAAATCAGCTTTCTCTTGCGGCTCATGAGCTAGTGACCCATCTGGACATCGCAGAGGTGGCAGCGAGGGCTGGCAGAAGTTGTGCTGCACGGCCTTAGCCAAACGCCAAAAACCACGGGAGCCCGTAGGGTGCGTTAACAATTCGTGGCCAGTACGTGCTACACGTTGGGCATCCGCTCTGATGTAAGCCTTTTTGCAAG